TCTCTCCCTCTTTGGCTTCTCTTTCTGTACACGCGCATATAATATACTTATTACAATAAACTCGCCCTTTACCATCGCGTCTGCAAGTATATATAATATACAACAAGCCTTTATCTCGAGGGGAACAAGAGCTGGCGGCCTACACTCGTCTTGGTACTGCTTCGGATGTTAATTAATAGCACGACGGAGGTATTTATTGTCAAAAATTTACGAATTCGTGATGAGACTACCTCGGCGTGGACTGATTCTAAAGAAAAATATGTTCAAACGATATATATATAAATTGTAGAAAAATGTGGTGTAAAAAGTAGCCGATGCTTAAATTTTGTCAATACAACGATTATTTTTAAACATAAGATTTAATTCAATACGAATCTTTGCGTGAATAACGTTATAAATATAGTTGATGAGTCATTTTTTATACGACGCATCATACACTACAATTTTTTTTTGTAGATGGTAAGTAATGAGCCAATTTAGATTCAGTACGTCTCTCTTTTAGAAAAAAAAATTTTTTTTTTGTTGAGCTCCAACTGCTACAACGTTGTGGTATTTTTTGTTCATCAATTCTCTGCACGTTTACATAATTTTTACAGCAGGTTCTAATACATAGACTTTGTGTTTCTGTAAAACGCGTGACACATTAGTTTTTGAAAATGATCACGTTGAGAAATCACCAGGGATGCCTCTTTTGAAAAAAACCAATCACGCCAGGACTACTATATATTGCAACGGAGGTTGTTCGGATTATAGATTTTTTTTTTTTTTTTTTTTTCAATTAGTTGTACCGCAGCTGGTTACGGATTCTCCAGAGACGAGGGAAAGGGTGGCTTTTGACGTGCACACACGTGTATTCTATTACACCGCACACTCTATATATAAATATTCCTGGTTGCAAAAAATGCAATTCGACACGCATTCTCCATCGTATACATGTATTTGGTTTTCATTGTTCTCGCGACGCGGATGAAATATTGACACTTTGATTATTAAAATTGCCGAGTATATGTTATGAAGTGCATAGGAATGAAGAAATAAAATGAAAAGCTTCACGTACATTAAATTAATGCGACGCGGAGCACGTGCGAACGAGAATATTTAAGTTTCGGTTTATGATAAATTTTAATTACTACACCATCGCAATAATCTGATGTGCAGCACGAGTGCGCTAGCGCTTACAATTATTTTTTCTTCTTCTATTTATCTCGAGCGCAAGAACACTCCGCCGGATGATTAACCACCGGCGGGTTCCATATTTGTAAAAATAACAGCGTGTAGACACTTTTACTCGCTTTTTCTTCTTCTTCTTCTTCTTTTTTTTTTCCTTGTCAAAAAGCCATTAACCGCGTACACACACGAACATGCCTCTGCTTATCGAACAATGCCAATCTTTCACACGTATNATGGTAATAATAATAATAATAATAATAATAATAATAATAATAATAATAATAATAATAATAACAAGCAACGGTGACCCACATTAGATTTTCAATACATACGTATATTGCACACCAGTAGACTTTTTTTTCCACGAGGGACATTACACTCTGTAAAGACTTTTCTCAAGTGATTTTAGATTCTTGTTGTTGTAACGAGAAAAGTTGGGAGTAGATTTGGCGCGCACATACAGGTGTGTATACACATATATGTTTTTTCGAACGTAAATTTTCATTTGGATAGTAAGTACGGAGACTATACTTACACTCTACGGCCTTGGCCATACGTACGTATAATGTATATGTAGGTGCTTCTGGCCAATTTAGATGATACCTTTTGTAAAAAGTTTTCCAAGGTAAGGTGTCTTCTAATTTTTCCCCGCGGCGATAATGGATTTTCAAGAGATTTGGAATAAACTTAACGTCTGTAAGATAGTTGGGCGTTAGGAACGAATACTCAACAGCTTCAAGTGGTCAAAGTCCCACAGATTGATAAAAATAAATTTTTCTATTGTAATGATCACGGAATATCGTCCTTTCCGCGATGTCTGCATTTTATTTAGGAGGACACAGCGATTTTACCTTTTCGATTATCCTTAATTCAGAAATACTGAACGGAGGATAGCGATAAACAGTCGCACTGGAAAGTTTGAAACATATATAAAATTCACGCTTACTAACAGTATAGATTAAAAAAATGTTTCAATACCAATTAAGAATACAGGTTTTTAAATGAAATTAACGATCTTTCCTTGCTCTCGCCGTACACATATACCGAGCGAACGAAGGAATTTTTCCGCGTAATTTAAAATTTTGTCACTTGAGGAAGAAAAAAAGTTAAAAAAAAAAAAAAAAAAGCGAGAGGGAGGAGAAGCTAACGAAGGATGGAAGGAAGGGGGGTAGGGCGAGAGAGTACAAGGTGGATTGTAAAAGCGAATATTCCCGGGTACGCGGATTAAACATGCATGTCGCGCAATGTATGACATCGACTTCCATTTGCATAGCTCGTCCGAATGTGTATAAGGCAGCTGTATATACCTATATTTGTATGTATATACGTGTAACGAGTGCGCCGAGAAATTAGTCAGCGAGCGAGGAGTTGAGAGTATTATCTACATATATATATGTATAATATTATGTGTAAGACTTGTCCGCGCGCGGCACGTACGTAATGCGGACTTGGGACTGCTGAGTTATGGCTTTCTAAAAATAAGTAAGTACTTGCTAGTTCGGAGTTGTTTTGTCTGACATAATGATGTGAATTGTTGAAACGAGAAACCTCGGAGAGACTGTTGGCTTCGTGATTTTACATTTTAAATTAGTTATCGGCAGCCGATGTTACGGAAAAAGTTCTTATTCTCGCGAGAACCCAAAAAATCGTACAAGTGCTTGTAAAATGGATTATTTGTTTATTTACTGATTTTTAACGGTGCAGTTTATAATGATGTTTAATTTGTTTTTTTTTTTTTTTTTTTTTTTATTGTTTAACATTCAGAGTTAATACATCACCCCATTGAATGTGAATTTTTTTCATCCAAATACGTTGTCTCGCGCAGTAACAAACAAAGCCCCTATCAATCATGTTTAGCGGACAGATGAGCGTGGTATTCTCCGAAAGTGTAAGGGAGGGCTCTCCCAATTACTTGCCCGATGGCTGTCAAAAAACAGGAACACACCACAGTACACCAAGAGCCATGTAGGGGAACTCGGAAACTACGAGAATCCTCCCCTTCGATATTACCTTCACTCTACCATACGTGCGTGTAACATATACCTGTACACGTGTACGTTATACTCTCCAAATCCCAGGGCTCGTCAGCTCTCGATCATTACACCCCCAATCGCTGGTCCTCGGCCTGCATTATCCGTACCATAGGTGCATACATATACATACAAAGGTACGAGCGAGCGAACTGTGTGACACACGCGACGCGATGGCCGATTACGTGGGCCACCCGCAATCGTTCTTCTTCCCCCATCCCTCTGCTCCTTCAATTCCACCCTCAGCCGATAATGCGCCCAACCGTAATAGTCCATGTATAGGTGTGTATGTAGGTATACTGGTACATATAGCTTGGGCAGTTGGTACATGCATATATATATATATGGAGAGACGATTTCCCCTCTCGTTGGAAACATGCGATTAAGAGGTAAGTAATAAAGGAGCGATTGGGCTGTTATAGCCGCCAAGAGAGGTCCTTTTGGCGTCTTTTGTTTCTTTGCGAAACCGGAAGTTTGCAAGTTTTTGGTTTTTATTTTTTTTTTTTTTATATACCGTTACATTCGTACCTGCATACGTTTGTTTACAAATCATGGTGCAAAGCATCATGTTAAGTAGTTTATAGCTTAGCTTCCAATGAAAAATCTTTTCGATCGTTTTCAAATCCTACTTAACTTGACGAATTAGCGCATGAGGGATCTCAAACTGAAAATCAAATCAAAAATTAATCCCATGGAGAGAGGATGGTGGCGGGTTGAAAAAAAAATTTTGTACTTTGAGAGCGAGTATGTAAAAATTAAGTGTTCAATTAAAAAATACTAGGCATTAAAAAAAGGAGGACTACGAATATAAAAAAAAATTCTCCTAAAATTAGCGCGTTTTTTTTCAAAATTCAATACTCTGGTACACTGTAGCGACAGTATTAGTCTTCAACCGTCAGCCGATAGAACTTGTCACTTATACTCTCGAATAATGAAAATCGCACCGTCCCTTTTCTTTCGTGAAATTAGCAATCTCCGGTGACGAGAAAGCCATCTCTCAATTTTCCATGCACATTTTTCCAGCAGCCGTTACAATCCAATGTACGCGCTCGAGAGCGAAAAGAGAGAGCCGCGTTCACGCCTCGCCCTGAGAAACGAGATTTGAATTCAAGCAGCGAGCCGATATCGACAGAGAGGAGCTGGAAATTACTACTGCAGCAGTCTCGAAAAATCCCCGCGCCTCCCTTTCTTCCCTCTTATCTGACTCCCCTTTTCCTCTGTCTGGATATAATATTATGTTCCGCCCGTCTCGAGCCTCCCAGTAGGAGTATATGTATCATTTCTCCTCTTCCCATGGACTCCTTTCTCTCTCTCTCTCTTTTACTGACTACCCGCGAACAATGACGCTCCGATAGCGCGAAATCTCGCCCACGCTTTCCTCCCATCTTTCCGTTATCGTTTTGCTTTTATTTTCTGCGTCCACGCTCCATACGTTTAATGCAGCTCGCTCCGCCCTATTATTTGCCCGGCTGGCGGTTGCATGTGATCTAACGACACTGCGAGCGTGTTAACAACTCACGAAAGATCCCCGATAACACCTGCTCGCGTATCTTGTACTCTATCGGATAAAAAATTTATAACAATACGGTAGAGCCTATACTTCAACGCGCCAAACAGTTTTGCTTTAGCCACGAAAACTTTGTACTCACGTGTTTATGCTTATTATTTATTTATTTAAACAAAAAACAAACTCACAAAATAGTATCAATCGTATCGCACGCACACAATTATGTACGCGCAACGATAAAGGCTTGATTATAAACTTTCGATTCGTAATAACAGGCTGCTCGTCGGTGTTATCTTGTGCTCTCTCTCGTTTAATCTCTTTGGTTCTTGATTCTCTCATTGCTTCAAGAAGCGACGAAATCGATGCAATATATCATCAGTCACGACGACGTCGAGGAGCATGAACTGCAGATCTTCGGGATCGGGGTTCGCCTGTATCACCGTCGTTTCCTTGTACAGCCACGCGGAAGTCTCGCTACCGGACTCTACCCTCATACGTATTATCGAACGACCCGTCTCCGATAATATATGCTTCTGTATTCTATGCTGTAGCAAATCTATACCTGCAGCAAAAGGTAGACAAATATAATTATTAAGACCCGAGTTGCATGGCGTCAGATCGAGCGGATAATGCGATTTCTTACCTGTGAGTTTTGTCGAGGAAATACTCAAAACGTCCTCGGGGATTTCTTCGGGCGGAATCAGGTCGCATTTATTGGCAACTTCAATGATTGGTTTATCACCTTCGATCAGTGACTTTACCGTTTTACGAACGTGCTCGATTTGAGCCGTTTTATCCGGATGGCTAGCATCATACACGTGCACAATGAGATCCTGCAAATTGTTAGACATGCATACGAATTAAAAATATATTTCCCATTGTATGTTTTGAAAGTTTTTTTAATTTGACAGAAACAATAAGCTTACAGCTACTAATGCATCTTCCAGTGTTGCCACAAACGGCTCTATCAACCTTTCTGGAACATCTTGAATGAAGCCAATAGTGTCGATATAGAGGACCTTCATTTTACAAGGTAAAAGTCCTTCGTGTGCGGTAGTATCAAGTGTTGCGAACAAATAATTTTTTGGCTCTAATTTTTCATCATTTGTCAAGGCTGTGGAGAAAAAAAAATTTTTTGGTATTATATTTCTTTACATGTCAATTTAGGAATTCAAAAATCTGTTCACCTTTGATTAAAGAAGTTTTTCCAGCATTGGTATAACCAACAATGGCAACAGTAGCAAAACCAAATTTTTTTCTTTTAGTACGTACAGCTTCTCTATTTTGTTTGAGTTTTTTTAATGCTGCTTTTAGTTGTGATTCACGAGCATGTAGATATAATCTGCGCTTTTCCAACAAATTTATTCGTCCTGATTCCAATTCACTCATTTTTTTGTATATATAAGGAATCTCTGCAAGGGCTACTTGGAGCTTAGCTTCAGGACTTTTAGCATGGCTCCTGAATATGTGTATAACTAATGAGTACCTATCATAGATCGGCAAACCAAATATCTTTTCAAGTTGCAAAAGCTGGTCATGCCTTAAAGTAGTTGTACTGATAAATACTGCAGTGATGTTTCGTCCACATTTGATTCTCGTTTTAACTTCTTCAAGCTTTCCACTGCCCATTAGCTCCTTTCTGTCCAAATTTGGCATACCAATGCACATTTTATCTACAACTGTCCAATAAGGCAAGGTTTGAACTAGTGCAACAGCTTCGGCTAATTGCAGTTCGTTGTTAGTGATTGTTTTTAAATTTTTTCCACACCTGATAAAAGGCTGAATAACAAATGTTCTGTGACCTTTAGTTGCAGTGCCAAGGTACTCGTTTGCTATGTCGTAGTATTCTTGATTGAGAACCTCTCTTTCATCTTCTACTGTAAAGAAAGCATCTTCATACCTAAACCGTGAGCTCACAAACCATGTTTTTCTATGCATAATTCGGTTTCTGAAAAGCAAGCCACTTTTAGCAAGTGGCAAAAGTCTTTTAAATATCTGATTCATTTTTACACAATGTTATATCACTTTTCTGATACCAAGCTGTGAAGCTCTTTCTTCACTCTTTCCTCACACTTGGCTTTAGTAGTTGTTCCAATAAAGTAAGAAACAACCATCATACTAGTTGCACCAAATAACACTTGATACTCTCTCATGAACTTAATGTGAGATCCCCATCTACGAAGAACCAGTGGAATACTTATAACACCTAAAAATATCGAAAAAAATTTTCCACTTATAGGTGGTTGCCAAATAATTGGATACGAAAAAATTTATTTCATAATAAAAGACGTCACACCTACCGAAAATGTAGGAATACAAAGTTGCTTCTAGTCCAACACCAAGACACTGTTGAGTTAAGTATATGGTAGCATCGGCTTTTGACTTCACGTCCTTTAGCTCGATAATTGGAGGATTCATCTTAGTACCAATAATTCGTGCACGTTAAAATTACGAAACATTTATCAAAACGATCATATCTTATACTACGTGTATATATTTTTACACAGATTGTCCACTTGCATGCGACTCTCTTTTGAGGTTATACCGAAGTAAATATAAATGATGGATATGACATGATAGGTATCCACACGCTTACGTAATTATGTGACATTTTCCGTACGATTATAACTGTTTCTATTTAATACTAAGTACCTACTACATATACAATTTTTTTTTGTTCACTTTATCAACACTTGGTATAATTATATACTTACTGTGTCAAGTGCACTTAACACACTTTGTTGGCGCATGGTTGGCGTGTTATCTGAACTGTTGTCTGTTAACATTTTGTCATCAATATACAACTGTTCGTTTATTCTATCATGATTATCTGCAAGAATTTTTTTTTTCGCAAGTTAATGAACAACGAGATATTAAAAAGCTAAATTTCCAAACCGACTTAAAAACAAATACTTATTCGGAGATTTGCCTTAAACGTGTTTAAAATGCGCGCTCAATGTTTAGTCAGCAACAGTAGTACACCAAACGACCGTAGTGCTCCAAAAGTATGTCGGCGCGCTTGTCGCTTGTATTGACTATTGTAATTCGAACACGCCAAAACCAAAACAAATGGGCATGTTTATGTTTGAGTACCGTGCAGTGTATAGGTATACTGTCAGCTTATAGCTTATATTATATAGCTCCAAAACCATCGTCCGAATTTCCGAAATAGTACACAAAAGCAAGTTCGAGAGGTTTGAGAGAGGCTTCAGGTGCAGTGGGACCCCGTTCACAACAACAAGTTTTATCTACAGTTTATGCACGCAGTGTGCGCACATAGACGCTAAAGAAAGTGTAAATTTACTGTTATACTTACCTCCATACATGAGTAATCCCAACTCCTACACGGCTCGCTCGTGATTTCTATTGAGCGACATCGAAATGGCTAGTTACTATAGTGAAATTTTAGCTGCTGTCCATTACTACTTGACCATTTTTCGGGAAAACGTTAATGCGCGTTATCTTTTTCTGCCGACATAACCTTTCGGTATTGTCTACCGGAATAACAAAAGTGTTTTAAATTCATTGAGCATGTCGTCAATTGACTGTACTTTTCCAAGTTTTTATTTACATCAATAAAAATATTGAATCGCAATAACAACAACGAAAGTTTGATTTGATCATTGATAAAATCTCAAACGAAAAAATGAAGGAAGACAGATACTTGCTTTCCAAATTGATCGCGGAAACGCATTTACTTTTGATGATGCAGCAATCATCGATGTGTAGATTGACTTGTGCATTTAAAGTACCTGCCTTGCCACCGTGGAGGAGGAAAAAACGTAAAAAAAAGACAAGTGAAGATCTGCAGCTAGCACCTTGGCCTCGACCTGCACATTTCAGAATGGATAATAGAAATGGTTTGTCGAAGTACGTCTGGGATAAACAGACCATTGTGAAAGAAGAAATCGCCCGTATATTAAACGATTGTGAAAAGAAAGGTTTGTTTGGTACTTGATAAGATATTAGTTTCCTTCATTCATCCATGTAATCAAGAGATTTTTATGTTTTTAGCTTTCAAATTTACTATTGGAAAAACACAAAAATTATTGGTATATTTGCTGAAAACGTCCAACTGTAGATTAATATCAGATTTGAAAAATAGAGAAATCAATGATGACCAGTGGAAAAGAATAACGAAAAAAGTTAAAGTACCTTGTAGTTATATAAAAAGATATTGGTATTACAAATTGCACTTGCAATTATTCTGTCCTGAACCAATCAGAATGAAGAATGTCATAATCAAGTTGATTCAGTAGTAAGTTGAAGACGGCTTAGAGATAATGAAATATTAATTTATGAATAATAATAATTATTGACTTTCAGTTTGCATGAAAATAAAGGAAAATCTATAAATTGGGTAGAAGCTTGTTCAACGAAATTCGATGGTTATACTACAGAATTTTTGACAGTGACTTGTGAATTTTTGTTGAAGTTTGCTAGAAAAAATTTTTCTTTTACTACTTCAAATGGTACATATTAATTTTTATTTACTTATATCGTATAATTTCAAATACATTTGTATAACATGAGTAAGTAAAATAATATTTTTTCAGATATTATTGATTATTTATACATATATCATATACCTATCATAGAAAAAATGAAGAATACGTGGATTTTACCAAGATTGGATCCAATTTTAAGGCGAATAGACCCAGTCCCAGAGTCGTTGAACAAAAAGCGTCAGTTGTTGGATACTTGCACTGTGATCAAAAGTTATGTAGAATCTTGATTCACAGTAATCTTGTATATATTTTTTTATTCATACCTTATTTTTTACCCATACATTAGTTTTGACTGATTTTTACGGACACTCTCTATCAAGTATGTGTGAATAAGGGTGTTGATCCTAAACCTTATCTATAACTGAACGGCTATGAAGTCTACTCCTATTGGTTGTCCTGTGCTGCAGAATTAGACGCGAATCTAGAGGCCTTCGGAAATTTGATATTTATTCAGGAAAAGTTATGAAAAAAATTTGATTTCCAATTGACCCGATCGCTATTCAAACTTGTGCCCCACTAAGAGTAACTGAGCTACGACGGCTCAGTTCTAATTTGTACATATATTTTTATTTATTACAATTGTATATAAGAAAATTTTAACATTTACATAAATTTTTTAGAGCGAAGACGTCATACTGCAGTTTTTTTTTTTTTTTTTTTTTTTTTTTTTTTGTAAATATAAAAAGACAGAATATTTTATACAAGACTGCAATAGCCAGTAGATACAGTTCCTAATCATGATCGTGCAATTACCTAAGAGTACAAATTTGCCTTGTATACATATAAATGTTTGTACATAAACTACGGAGCAATAAAAAATAATGTTTAATAAAACAGGCGCTATTATTTAAAGTACCTAATGTTGCACACCACCTACTCCCAAAATCTTGCAACAATGCAATTTCAAAATTCAAGTATTGAAAACTTGTAAGAAATTTTAACAATTTTATTATTAGAAAAAAAAATTTTCTTTTAATGTCATCATAATCAAATTAGTTCAGCAAAAATTATATAAAAAATATGGCACGTTTTTCTGGCGCGTATTGGTGAAACGCCATGGTATCTAAAATGAGTAGCAAAACCTTTCGAAATAATACCAATGTAAATTCTAACTACGTACTTTATAGTTGAATACAATTGAACACTTGCTCTATGACTTTTAACAGTCAAATGAGTAACAAAAACATCCCACAGTTTTTTTTTTTTCAACAAGGTACGCTGTAATAACATATAATTTTATTTTAGCTCAATAAAAAGATTACTTATGGTTTTTATCGAACATTTTCTCTTAGGTATTTCGAATTCTATTGAGAGAGATTTTAGTTCTCGTTTTAGACATCACGCATCGCCAGTCGCCACTAGTAGCGTCACAGCTCACACTCTCTCGGACATTTGGAATCCAAATCGGAGTGTGATACTTTCGTTAAATCGTCACCTACTTGTGTGTTTCATTTCCTTGTAGTAAACAACTTATTAAAATCGTACTCTGTCCAAGGAAAAAAAAAAAAAAATCACGAGATAAGTTGCGTGTGCGCGCAGAGCAGAGGCCAACCAAGTTTTATAATAATACATACAGGGTGTAAATCTGTGTATAAATGCGCGATGCGCGAGCTGCGTCTAAATCGCGTCGGGAGTGCTGGGGGACGTCCGCGTGTGTGCGAAAAAGCTGAGGTTTGCTAACTTTCTTTTCCTTGCCTTGTCAACCTCGAGCTTAACCTCTTCCTCCAGGATACGTGTGTGGACCCGAAGAACCAAAACAAAATTAAAAGGCGGGGCTGCTATACATGCCTAGGGGGGAAAGAAGCACGTCTGCTAAAACGTCTGCTTTAACAATGGTGTGCATTGCAGCTGCTGCAGCTAACGTGAGTTATAGTAGATGGCCAACGATTTAGCGAAAAATCGTCAATTTGCCCGAGGTATGGATTCCGGAGGATGGGCAAGTAGAGTGCTAGAGTTGACCAATTACTGCTGGCACCTGGTACCTGATACCTGGCACTGCTGCTCCTGATTCAGTGTACATGCCAGTCTCTGACGTATTGTGTTGCTGTACTTGAGTATATACTGTTGGTGGTGTATATGTTTGTGTAATCCGAGCAACAGAAAGCGTTTGGGAGAAACTCATCCGCCAATGATAAGCCATAAAGCATAAGTGGACAGGATAAGAGAGATAAAGAAAGCGGCATCGTCGTCTCGCGCGCTATCAATGGACGCGGCCATGTTTTCCCGCAGCAGAAACCATCATTGCCGCCGCCACCGTCGCCGCCGTGACTGAGAAGTGTGAGCGAGGCGAGGAAAAATAAAATAAAATAAAAAGAGTTGCAAGTTGGAAGAAAAGTGTGTTGGTTGTGTGTACGCATCTAAGAGAGGAGGAGGAGGAGGAGGAGGAGGTCGGCTGTTAGAAGAGGCAAGCGCCGCCTTGGGACTAGCAACTTGACGAGGGGAGCAAAAGGTGCAGGTTGCAGTGCTGGATTCTTGCTGGGTGCAGGCGGTGGTGCTCGTGCTAGCGGCTAGCGGCTGGCTAGCTGCTTATCAAGCACGTTGACAGGATGCCGAAATGCGACGCGAAGACCAAGTATCTTCCGGCCGCCTTTGCCTGGATCCTCCTCGTTGGCTCGACCACGCTATTCTTCGTCTATCCGTAAGTGTATCTTGTTTATTTTATTTTACTTTTTTTTTTCCATCATTCTTAAATTTGACTCCGTTCTTTTGCTCTTGATGAGGAAATAATGAGTGTTAACTTTTTTTTATTGATGATTCAGCTTTATGCTTTGCTACGCTCTGCACTAGTGCAGCTTCTCAGGATGTGTTTGTTGTTGTTTTTGCTGCTCTAGTTCAAGGCTTAGCCTTCATTGGGAATTTATCTTTGAAAAATGAGGGTTACTTTGGAGCCCTTGGTTTTCTTCTTTTACTAATGATTAAGCTTTTATTTGAGTGACAATATGTAGTGCTTGAGAAAAAGGCCTTGAGCATATGATCTTCTTTAGTGCATGTTCATTGGCTTTGATTAGAGTTATTTTTTGGAACAGTACGTGTTGTGGATGATTTACAATATATTTTTTTAAATGTATTCTATAGCTTCTTTTTTACCACCATATAAAAGTTTCAACTCGATTCGTGGTCCTGGGGTTAAGATTATTATGAAATATTTTTCACAAGTGTAATATGAATATTTTTCTTGTTGTGGTGAAATCGTTTGAATTCAAGAACCAGCGTAGAGAAAATTACCTTTGATTAGAGTAAGTGTTGTTCATGATAGCGATTCTACAGAAAGAAGAATGAGTCAGTGTCAAGTGTAGCTATTACTCTGATGAAAGGAGAAAGCTCTCTAAAATTGTATGAATGCAGCAAAACAAAATTAAATGAAACGAAACTTGAAAACCCGTTTACTACAAAAAGAGAATTTATAAAAATGGAATATAATATAGTCTGGATACTTTTTTTTTTTTTTTTTTTTTTTTTTTTTTTTTTTTTTTTTTNTGATAAAAAATATTGATATCATTAACTTATTTATTTACTGTTCATCATTGAAATCATTTTTGAATCCTTGAAAAAAATTTTACCAAAATAAATTTTTAGTTGCCAGTATTATATTAGCAAATATCAATGGGTACCACCACTGCAAGGAGTCATTACATTCTTTGTGCTGGCAAATTTTACACTAGCGACCTTTATGGATCCAGGAGTAATACCAAAAGGTAATCAAAACATTATCAAAATTTTCCGATAACGATGATTGATATTAACCATTGATCAAATTATTATCCAGCTCCCCCAGATGAAGACAGGGAAGACGATTTCAGAGCACCGCTGTACAAGAATGTTGATATCAACGGAATCACCGTACGAATGAAATGGTGTGTCACTTGCAAGTTTTATCGGCCTCCAAGATGTTCACATTGCAGTGTTTGCAATCATTGTATCGAGGTATGTACCGTTTTTGTACTATGATACTTTTTCTTATCCATTACATGAGTATAAAATTATACTTCCTCGATATTGTATTTTCAGACTTTTGACCACCACTGTCCGTGGGTGAATAACTGCATTGGAAGGAGAAATTACCGATTTTTCTTTTTCTTTCTTCTGTCACTAAGTATGCATATGCTTAGTATATTTGGACTGTGTTTGTACTTTGTTTTGGAGCACAAACGAAATCTCAGTGAAGTTCGCACCATTGTAGCGTATCCTTTTTAATGATAATGTTATAAACAATATCAAAAGAAATTGTTGTAAATTATTGGTTGATGTATTTCGTCTACCAATATTTAATTTCTAGTACAGTTTATTTAGCTACAGTCAATTTCCTGAACAATATGTTGAATAGTATCTCACTCATGGTAGTGGTTACGCTTCTTTTCATTCCAATTTTCGGATTAACGGCTTTTCACATAGTGTTGGTCTCGCGAGGCCGCACGACAAACGAACAAGTTACTGGAAAATTCAATGGTGGCTACAATCCGTTTTCACGAGGCTGCTGGCGCAATTGTTGTTACACGCAATTTGGACCAATCTTCCCAAGGTCTTTATCTCTAAATTATATAACTTTTTAAAATCATTTTTTGTCTCGTTTAATGAAATTTTTTATTTTTATTTTTAGTTTATTAAAGCCTGAAAAGTACTCAGGAAAACGGCGCGGAGCCTGCACGTCCGAAATCTCAACGATAGACAGCGAGAACCAGGTAAAAACCTACATGGATAGCAGCAATGGTGTTAGAAATGCCAGTTCAAATGCTTACAATAAGGTAAGAGCTAGCTGCACTCTGCCAACAAAGAAGTTAATCTCGAATTCCCTTGAATTCTTCCCCTTTTGCGTAGTAGCAACAAATTTAAATGCTTTCGGCGCTCCAAAATAGTCAAAGCTTTTGCCATGTAATCTGATCGATTTCTTTGTCGTTTTTTAAAAGTACAGATGAGCGTGGTTCCGTCGACCGTTGAAATTTAGCGTTGGCTTTGATGAAGATCAGCTGCACGTCATCTGCTTTTTTAAAAAATAACAAAAACTTCGACGCTAAGTATTTGTAAAGCGAGGCATATACACTCTTTCGCATGATTGTGTGTTCTTTGATATAAAAAAGCCAAATTTTTCTACTCAGCCTTCAAACTCGACCAACGTTACCTCATCCGAAGTCCCTCCAAAAGTCTCGAGATAACTCTACTTTTGTTGTACTCTATTAAATTCCTCTTCTAACTATCTCACTCTTCCAAACGACAGCAAACGGTAAACTAATATCTCCGTTAAATGTTTCTCGCCTCGCTACTTTTTCATTAGCGCTGACGGATACCTTTTTTTTTGTTTTTTGTTTAAAAACAAAGCTGTCACCGGGTAGAGACGGCTCAGACACAGATATGGAGCCTACCGCTTCTCAATCAGCAGACTGCGAACCAACTCCGCCTTTACAGAGACACGGTTCGAAAAACAATTTCTTCCTGCCACCTGTGGAGAACAGCGACTCTCCCAGGCATTCACAGCAATCGCAGCATCGTCATCCTGTACATTATCCCCGGGGCAGCCCACACCCAAAGCCGCGGTGAGATCTCTTTGATACTTGCATGTGTATTACATAAAAAATTTATTATAAGTGTTTGAAGAATTCCTAACGATTTTGGTTGTCGAATCTTAAATTCGTACAACTAACAAAGCCAAAAATCTCAGTTGAAGTACAAAGTTGGCAGCTTAAGTCATCATTGAAACGTAAGAGCAGCATGTGACGCGTGACTAGAATGGAAACAACCATTCCATTTAAAAATTCAAATATGACCGATAAAACGTGACATTTATTCATTGGACGCATACCCATGTACACTCCAACATAAACCGATACTTCATTGGAAACACAAAAATATATATTGCAGGGGTGTAAACGGCTCGCGAAGCCACACGCCGGACCCGCTCGCGGACTCGAGTGGTGCCCCAGCCACAGCTGGCCATGAAGGTGGAAATGGCAATGGCGGCGCTCCTACGCGGGCTCACACGGGAGGCAGCCCGACGATGCAACAGAGAATCAAGGCTATCGGTGTGCCGACGCCGCTCGCGATATCCAGTCCGATTCGCAGGTACTTTGCCGAATCCCCTCTAAAACGATTCTTCAATCATTCTAAAGTAAACACCAAGCCACACGCAACACACAGCACACAAGCACACATACAGGACACAGCCAGAGATGAAAGTAATTTATAATGTGTATGTATATGTATGATAAATAAGTCAGTCAATCAGTCTGTTGCGATATGTTCACTGTTTGTAAATGTCCCCATGTATCTTGTTTATACGATGGAACTGCTCTCTTTTATATACTGTACATTTATAAATATATTTTTTTTATATATTTTTTTTTTTACTATTGTACTCCATATAACTATTACACTAATATAACGCACTGCGATATAATGCATCTGTTTGCAAGAGAAAATATAATTGATATCTTTTTTGTACTATTTTTATTTATTTATTTATTTTTTTTTTTCTAAATCCAAATGTTTTTGTGTATCAAAGACTTATTTGTACTACCTTTTTGCATCTTTAATATGAAAGTGTAAAAAATGAATGACAGCTATAAATTCCTATTATTATATTTATACTGTGATATATCCATACATATACAAACGTATATTATATTATGTGTTGGACCATTGTTAAAGCTTTTTTTATGATCCCCGTACCGTCTTGCCCGTATATATTATACTATCAAACTTTGTATTAAACACCTATGCTCACGCTGTCACTTTTGTCTATCTGTTTCTGTCTTTCTACATATGTATAATACCCTGTAAAAATATAATATTTATTTTCACTGCCGAAAAGCCAGCACAAATTTATAAGAAAAAACAGTTGTTGACTGTGCACTTGGTATCTTTTTTTCTATCTTTTTTTTTCCTTGTAAAATATCTCTGGGACACTGATTGAAAAATCTCATAATCGTATAACTCTAGTCGTGTGCAACGCACACCTCAAGTTTTTTTGAGTAATGTTTTTTTCTTTAATAAAATTATAACTATAGTTTTTCGAAAAAAAAAAAAAAACCTTCAATAATTTGTTTCTCTTTTAGTTGAGATCGAACGAGTTTCTCTGACATTGTGAGTAACGGCTAATACTAGTAAATTGTTTTTCTCTCAGTCAGTTTATTCAACGTTCTGATTTTTTTTTTTTTTTACTTTTCGCTCTATTACATCTTTTTTTTAAAATTTTATCATCTTTCAATCGAGCGCCTTTTTTACATACCTACCACATCAGCGTGATTATCATGTTTCTTTGTATTGTAATTATAATTTTCTTTCTTGCTGAGTACACATTCATGTTCATAAAAAATAAGTAGTTTAGCTACTCGATGCCGTCATAAAAAGCTCGACGATTGAACAAACAAGTACACGTAGCTGTGTGTGTGCGCGCGCGTGTGGAAATATTCGAGCTTCTCCTTTTTCGACCTCCCAACGGGAATAGTATCGAAAAATAAAATATAGGTCGGTGCGTGTAAGAGTATACTGTATCCGGAAAGCAGAGAACATTGGCACTACTTCGCTTTTAATACTCTTTTTTTATTATTTTTTTTTTTTTATTCACAAGTTATATTTGTTCACGCGTGATTGTGAAATAAACTGACGTGTGCAAATTTGTCAGACACTCGCTCTAATTGTTACACCATAAGCTTAAAAAAAAAAAAAAAAAAAAAAAAAAAGATTGAATCTAATTTATTGCAATATTCTGCACCTCTTCACGTTTTGAATTAAGAAAAGAAAATCTTTATTGCTTTGCGAGTACAATAATAATTGATGAAATTTTGTTTCTTTTCAATGTCTCAATAAAGTAGCTATATTGGTCACGAAAGGGAGAAGCGCTGAACGACATCACACCCGCGCTGTTAGTATACATTATACATAGAAAAGCTTGAAGAAGAAAGAAAAAAAGAGGGGAACATGTATACTTACATAAGAGCCCTTTAAGCTTTTGCACGTGTAAACAGTCTCGAGACGAGATTATGCTGGCTATATTAGATAAGTTTGTGTATCCCGCTTCAGGGGGTGGTAACTGCAAACGCGGAGCTGATGCTTTCGGCCAGTTGTTGGCCTCACATGTTGCGACCTATTACCACAGGTAAACATAAACGTACGAACTTGGTTTCTGCAACGACACCTATTACAAATTACGATGTATCTGTCTACAGTAGTCTGTTTCTTTCTTCGCTCACTTTTTTTTTTCTATTCCTTCTTTCGCCTCTTATTGTATTATTTCTTACTTACGATGCGCTTGTACTACCATGTATATGTTATACCGCTTCTTTTGTACCGTAGAGCAGTCATTTTATTGTATACGTTGTAACGCTACCTACTTGTTGCCCTCATATATGTATACGTAGGTTTAGAACTGTTTATATTAGTTGTTACTAATGTAGTTAGGTACGTGTTAGTTACGCTTACTCATCTCACGTATGTATACACTTTCACACATCATAAATCAGCTTCAATTTCTTTTTTTCTTTTTTTTTTTTTTTTTTTTTCAGCCAAAGTTGTATTTTTTACAACAGTGTATTTATGTACATAGTTAATTAATTTTTATGATATTCTTTCAACTCGTCTTCTTAGACTCTTTTATTTATCATCGATTAAAAATGTTGTTTTTCTCTTTTTCATCTCATATAAAAAAGAAAGCCATCAATTTGACAATACAGAGTAGGTTCGGTTTTTTTTAAGTTTTAGTATTTCCTATAAAAAAAAAAAAAAAATCCCATAGACGTATATATAGCGCTGATGAGTTGATAAAAAATGCGCGTGTAATTTTTTCCTTCGTTCTTTGAAAAAGAAGAGAAAAAAAAAAAAGAAAAAACTAGAGTAAGGTCTTTGAGGCAGAGTCAATGGTCGGGCATTTAATGATCATTTTCAATGCATGAAACTGTTCGAAGCGCTAAATATACATCGCACCATCTTTTTTTTACGACTGCCTTTTATACACTGGCACTTCAAGGAACATACTTCAAGCTCCAGAGCTAAAGAAGTTTTAAAATAGAGTGATTTTACATTTACGAAAGTCGAATTTTATTATTATCGTTGCTCTTTTGCGATGATTGTTTTTACCCTAAAAGTAGGCGATAGAAATGAATTAAAGATAATACAAAAAATTCATTTGGTACGTAACACGTTAACTATAGTCATTTTATATAAATAGTTAAATATGTATTATTTTATGAATTAAACAGTTATTCGAGTGCTTTCAACTTTCATCACGTGTCGATTAAAAATTAAAATCTCACCTCTAATTATACCTTAAAAGAAAAAAAAAAAAAAAAAAAAAAAATGGCTTTCGATCCATGTTTTTTAACTCTATGTTTTTCTGAGGATAAGAGAGACAAAACGTGTAAATAAATCAATCATTAAACGAAAAGAGCAAAAGCACAGTCATAGCTAGGAAATTTTATTCCGATTAACCACGAAACACTCGAGTGCCAGTGCTGGGTTTAATCGACCTAAGTAAAAACGATACGTATTCCTCGATTCACGATCACCACCATCAATTATCACAATCACGATCGTATAGCTCTGTCTCTGCTTAAGCGTTTTATGCTCCCCACACCTTTTCGACCCGCTCCGTCACGATCCCTAGATAAAAAAAAAAGTCTATAGGCCAACAGCAGTGTATACCGTTCAAAGAATCAATCAGAAAAAAAAAGAAAAAAGAAATTAAGTATATAGCTTCCAATGAGTGATGAAAATGAAAACCCGATGTGAATTTCTGTGCGCAGGTCGAACCCGGGCACCCCGACGCAGGTCCGTCGGCCGGACTTTATCGGCGTGTCCGAGCAGCAGCACCACCACCACCATCAACAGTCTGTCCAGCAGCAAGCCAAGTACTACGACGCCCAGCACCCGGGGAATCCCGGCTACAGTCCCCAGCGGCGCTTCCTCTCCGAGAGCGAGCTCGTGCGCCAGGCTAACGAGCATCCCTACGCTCGCACGAACAACACCGTGGACAACATAAGAGAGCTCGCCGGCTCGCCCCAGCGCAGCGTCTACACCTGGAAGGACAATTCGCCTGGCGGCTTTCCCTCCACCGGCCCGACCTCCACCGTCGCGGCTCTCGCTGCCGCCCACCAGGCCGCTCAACACCAGGCGGCTATGGTTGGTTCATGCTTTAATGATGAACAGGGCTCCCTTTTTTTTTTATCATCATTATTTTTGATATCACCGGAAACTCGAAAAACCAACCCGTGGAAGGAAATCGAATGAGCATGTACCTTCGTTGCTTATTTTTTGCTACGTTAAGAGGGGACTTGATGGGTTTTGATAGCCGTCGTTGCATCGCATATACGTGTGCACGTGCACGCGCGCGCCTCTGTTTAATAAGACACCGAGATGGTACATATCACGTTAGAGTGTATATAAGTATCGGGTATCGTGTGTATTATACTTATACGTATCGTTGTGACAAGGACTGAAGACTATATTGTTTCGCACGAACGTACCGGTCGCTTGATTGGCTTAAAAGGTCACCGACTATTAAAGAGTGGCTCAACGGTAGGAAAAAAAACATAAAGCTTGCCAACAGATCGATATTCCACCAATATCCTTTACTTAGAGGGTACGCGTGTACGAGGATAACACCAAAATGAGGAGCATATTTAACGAATGTTATTATTTCGACGATAAAAATAAGAGCAGTCATTGCGCAAAAAGCGAGTAGTAATCAATACTGTGCGTGGTATACTCGTGCAACGTGGCGCGCTCGTTTAATGGAATTATGTGTCGAGCGTAATCCATTTTCCCGGCAATTGGATCACGTTTCCGTCTCTGCGTTGCGAATTGCTTTTCTGGAACAACAAGCGAGCTCGAATCATTGATAACTTGTAGGGCTTAATTTGTAAAAACCACGTTAGATCGAGACCATTGATGATTGGAAACAAAACAAAAATTGTTTTTTTTTTTCAGGGAGGACCAGGTGCGCAGCGACCGCCACTACCGTACGACTACTACCGATCGAATCCAACGTCGCCGACGCAACAGCCATACTCCCAACACGGTGGTGGTCCCCGGGCCGCTTACCATCCGGTCGTGAGAGGCGGAGTACCGGTCTACCCGCCCCACCAGTCGCCCCAGGTCAAGCGCAAGACTAGCATGGCGACGCCGACGACGCCGACGGCATCGGGCACGTCGGCGGGGGTCGCGGGTAACAGCAGCTCCGGCGTCGTCGTGACGGACAACAGGCGTCGGCCCATGTCGTTCGTGCGGGCCCTCGAGATGACCGACTCGATGGAGATGGTCGCGCCACCGGGCAGCGATGCGTCCAAGGGTTCCGCGCCCGGGACGACGGGAGCCACGGCTAATCAGAATCAGAGGCCCACGTCGCCAAACGCGGCAGACCGAGCGAGCGTCTACGACATGAACTATGAGATATCGGTATAGCGCAACTGTTACGTCTCCCCGCCGGCCATGTGTGGCTGGAGGGAGATGAGGCGCGACTCGCCGAGTCTCTTCTTTCACGTGAGCGCCAAGGAAGTCGCGAGCCTTGCGGCCAAGAAGGCTGCCGCCGCGGCCAAGGCCAAGGCGCATGGCTGCCAGGTCTCTGTCTGAGCACGTTGAAAGGGGCCCCTTACAGTTTACAATTATTATTTTATTATCATTATTACTTTGATTATCATCATTGCTATTCATCATTATTGTCATCATCATTTCTGTCGCAGCGACGAGGATGGTGGAGATGATGCTACTGTTCTCGTGCGCGTCCGTTTTTTCTCATTCTTGCGTTCTCTCCATGGTTTACACGAACAATTTTGCCTTTTGTAGTAAGGCGCTTCGGTGCATGCGTGGATGAGGATGTTTTTTGATACTTTTTTTTTCCTCTTTTTTTTTTTTTTTTTTTTTTAATTTATTTTTTTTCGACTTATGGTACTGATTAAAGAATCAACTGTAGTATACAGTCTGGAGCTCACTGTTAGAAGTGATAATTGATTACATCATGATATCCCGAGCACGTTTTAGAATATCATTAAGCAATATGGTATGAACACATGTTGCTTCTAATAGTGATCCTAAAAAAGCACAAAAGTAATTTCAAAAAATAGTCTGTATTCAAGATAATCAACGGAAAATACGTGTTTAAAAGCATTTTTTACTATGAGTGGAAATGTGTGATAAACAAAAATGAATTATGTGTACAGTGGCTAGTGGTCGAAGTGGTTATATTAAAAAAATAATGATAAACAAAGTGAACTGTACTGAAAAATTTCGGTGGGTGTAAGATTCGTTAGATTTCTCGTTGTTACTCAATTTCTCATCGTAATCTTTATAATCAGTGATCATCAACGGCAGGTATATTTGTTGTGACCTCAACTTTTTTTTTTTTTTTTTTTAAGAGTACATACATGTTAAGGTCAGTTTAGATTTTTATACTGTGTTGTTACGAGAACCTTTTTTCAACTTTATTTTTCTTGAAATACAAACAAAATTCGTCAATGCTGGTGAACTATGCATACGTTTTTATACTCAAGATATACAATATACAACTTATAACATAGACCATATAGTGATTTATTAAATATTTATTTATGTATTGCTGAAATAAATGTCTGAATCAATATTGGTGAGTCAAACTTTTTTTTTCTGCTGATAATCTCTTGCTTAAATTAGAGTTGGAATGAAAAAAAAAAAATTCGTAATTCAACTCCTATAATATTAGTAATACTCTGAAGAATCTTATAGTTATCACAGAATGAATAATTTTATTAAAATGATGAATAGTACCAACTATCATTTCAGTAACTGTTATAAGTTGTATAATGTTTATAAAAAAAAGTCTATTGAGTATACAAATTTACAACCAAGTTGCTTAATTCTATATTTTTTCCGCTGAATGCATTCGTTAAAGTAACTAAAATTAAAAACAAGAGAAAACGTCTGATTGTCCATTAACGGAGTTACTTAATCTCGAGGTGTCATTATGAAGTTAGATTAACGAATTTTGTATCGTGAACTGTGTAGTGAAATTTTTAATCAATCAGGTATTAAGAAAAAAAATATTTATATATATTTAAATAAACGTGGCTGAAAATTTTTTTTTTTTTTTTTTCTCGGGTTCCACGGTCGACAGTTGATATCAGTGTTTATATACCCTGAAAAAAAATCAATAAAATAATGCAAACAGAATGTGTGCAAGTGTTTGTGAAAACTGGAAAAGTGAATGTGATAGGCTGGAAGTAAGGACCTTAGTCATTTCGAAAGTACATAATTAATTTCGTTTGCCAGTAATGTAGTTAACTGGCATTCGATCTACATGAAAAATCGCACTACTTGTAATATATAATTCCTAAACTTACTACGTGCAAACGCTCTTCATGGTTTCTCCATTTTTTTATGTGTACTATAAATATGAGAAAAATATGATTTTTACCAAGGATCGAAGCTTCCAGAATTCTCAAACCTAACGATATTGAAAATAAATAAAAAAAATAAAAATAAATGGAAAAGACCAAATCACGTTCATGAAAGCACTTGTTCAGCTCTCGCCTGGCGAACTGTGCCAAAAACGAAACATAAGCGCATGATAATTTACGTACTTCGGAATGCAATCACTTCTTTATTCATGACTGTATTTTTTGAAAAAAATAAAATAAAATAAAAAAGAATATCGTATTTCGAAAAAATTTCTGTCTTTCGAATACACTCAAAAGACTGTTGTCAAGAGAGCTATGAAAGCATCACAACGAGTGAATGAAAATTAAATTCGAAAATTGAACAAAATGTACAAGATGTGACGAATGTTTTAATGTTTGTAATTTGGTGTAACTTGTACATAAAAATGCTCGTTATTGCTAAAAACTTCAATGTAAATACGTATATATTTCGATACACTTCCGTATCGTCAACTATTCTATATAAAATAAAGACGACATGAAATTAATAAATATTCTTTTCCTGCCTTGGCATCGTCATAAAGTATACAAATGAATAATATACGATGAGCATAAGGCGTGCTTTAAATCACTTGTATAAAATGGACATATTTTTTTTATAATTGTAATTCTTTGTATCTAGAGGTTTATATGTAATTTCAGTTTATCTTTAATTGTTTTCAATAACAATAATAATTATTATTTTAAATATAATTATTATTGTTGTTTTGGAGAAAAAAGGGTGTATGGCAGAGTTTGGAGATATTTTTGTTTGGTGTGATTTTTTACTAAAAATGAAGAAAAAAAAAAACAATGTGTAGTCAAAAATCAAGCGTTTTATTTAATTAACATATAGACCATTATAATAAATTTGTTTTTTGAAAACTATCATTTGAAGTTAATTTTGTTTTCCCATAATTTTTTTCCACCAATGAATATTTCAATCCCAAAATCATTCATTGGTTGAGCACTTTTATTAAATAAATAAACATCAGATTGCAAGCTAAAATTTCTCGTAGTAAAAAAATGTACTTAGGTATATTACACAGTAATCGTTTCGTTACATCGATAGGCGTAAATACCATCGATAATCGAAATTGTGCTTTTGTAGGTCGAGTTGTCGATGTCGACCGTCTGCGACTGTGCGCGGCAGTGTCGGAGTGATCGCCATATTTATTTTAGTTTCAATAGACACGAATCGGTCAACAGAGTTGTCCTGGTTGTCCACTACTTAAACACTTTACGTTAAGAAAGACAGCAGAGGGTCAGGATTCAAGATCACTCGGAGGAAAATTTTTTCATCCAAAGACTGAGGAAATTAAGTGTATCGTCTCCTCGGCTACGTGGCCACGTCGCCAGTCATGTGAGTACATAGAGAACATTATTGTTCTATATCTGTGATGGGCGAAACACACACTGTATTTATGGCGTCCTCAGCTCGATATAATATCATCAAGCACCGGTGTTAACCCAACTTTTCTCATTTCAAACATCACCTACACATGCTCGACGCAGGGCACGAAGCCGAAAAGATAGCACTGGCAAAAGCGACTCCGAGGTCAGCGACAAGGAAGGCAAGCGCGGTCGTGATAAGAAGAGACGCTCCGCGTCTTCGTCCAGTAGCGGAAGCAGGTATGTCCATACATGTATTGCTTATGCTTTAACATGCCGGTTTTTGTAATGTTTTTGTGTAATGCTGATAAGGATCATCACGACTAGGTACTGTACCTTTGCAACACCAAGTAGCGTCTGAGAGTTTTGTTTGGTATCAAGTGCTGATCAATCGATGATTACATTTTGCATATGAGTGGTCATCATCTATCTGAGAGTCCTGTCTATCTAATGAAGTGTACTTCATAAGTTAGCAGCCAAACATCCTTACTCAGCTACTCAATGCTGAAAAAAATCTAACAAGTAGATACATTACTGTTTCAGTTCTTCGGACAGTAGCTCTGGATCATCTAGTTCGAGCAGCAGTGGAACTTCCAGATCCAGTTCCTCATCCAGCTCGTCCTCTAGCAGTTCTGGAAGCTCGTCTGCGAGCTCACGCGAGAGAGGCCGCAAGCGCAGCCGTACTAGAAGCCCAGATGTCAAGGGGCACTTGTCCAAGGAAAAGGAGAGGGACAAGGAGCGTGACCGGGAACGCGAGAGAGAACGCGAACGGGAACGTGAAAAGGAGCGAGAACGTGAAAGAGACAGGGAACGTGATAAAGAGCGCGATAGAGAACGAGATAGGGAAAGGGAAAGGGAACGTGATAGGGATAGAGAGAGGGAACGAGAGCGAGAGAGGGAGCGAGAGCGTGAAAGAGAAAAGAAGAAACCTAATTCAGTTCCTGAGAAGCCTAAACCTAAGCCACGTTCCAAGTAAGTTTGTTTTGTGCATGAAGGGGTTGGTTAGTCATATTCCAATGTTAATTTACTAAATTTTTATTTCAGGACTCCTTCTCCACGTAGAAAGCGTAAGGAGAGGTCACCTCCTAGACCAACAAAAATTCATATTGGTCATCTGACGAGAAACGTTACCAAAGAGCACATTGTGGAGATCTTTTCGACTTATGGAAACATCAAATTAGTTGACTTCCCTATTGACAAGCAACATCCTATTCATGGTAGAGGCTTTGCTTACGTTGAATTTGAAACGGCTGATGAAGCAGAAAATGCTATGAAGCACATGGACGGAGGTAAACTAGTGCTAATTGAGAATTAATTGATACTTGATGTACTTGCTGAAAATATAAGTAAATTTATAATGATTTCCAGGACAAATTGATGGACAAGAGATCACAGCAGCTCCAGTGCTAATCCCAAAAACACCTCGACCACCAGCTCGACGAATGTCGCCGATTATGAACCGACGTGGTCCTCCTCCAGGTAATCGCGGCTGGGGTGGCGGCGGCGGTGGTGGTGGCGGTGGCGGTGGCGGTGGTGGTGGTGGTGGCAATCGCAACTCACCACCCCGCTATCGTCGTCGTTCTCCTATGAACAGGCGTGGACGTAGCCCAGCAAGACCTCCTCGACGTCGTCCAAGGACGCGGTCTAGGTCTCCAGTGAACAACCGGAGAGACAACCGACATCGACGCTACAGTCGTTCCAGTTCTAGTAGCTCGCGATAACGCGACAGTTAAGCCACTTTTTTTCTCAGAAATCGATTTGAGACTAGTATCTCTTTCATTTTTTGCACAGGCTGTGCTGGTGAGAGAGTTAAGAGCGTGTAGACTTTCGTTAATTCGGTCCAAAATACTGTTTGACTTTGTGATGTGCTATTTGTAGGTATAAAGATGACTAGCAGTTACATTGCAGGGAATATCTTTTACGAATCATAGAGGTACTTTCTTCTTTCGAGCTACCTTACATGTTTTAACATTTAAACATTATCGAAGATGTAAAACATGTGTATTTTAATATTTGTATAAAATAAGTAATTAAAATCACGTTACTTTTTAAGCAAACTTTTATCATCCTCAATTATATGATTCTTGAGTTTTCTTTCTTTATCGTCACACTCTAAGTAGCTTTTTTTGCTTTAATTTGTAATGATTTGTATAAATACTGTTAGTTATTTATGTTATTCTTGTCACTAAATAAACAAATAGTGTATGTTTTGTTCCTACAAAGAAAAAACCATGTCCAAAATGATAAAGGTTAACTATCAATGGACGTAGAACAAGCATTGATTTTTTAAAAATTTTCTTTCCATTGAACTAAAGCATTACTATTTTAATAAAATCAAGAGTTGTATTGGCCAAAAAAGCCATTATGCAGTTTTTTTTTGTTTAATTTTTTGCACAAGTGTGTTAGTGTGAGGACATTGTAATGGACAATTTTGTGACCTTTACTGTAACATAACTGTTTAGTTGAATCAATTATCAGATAAAAGAGTAATTGGTATGTGTTAAAGAATGCTCAAAGAATTGTAATTGTAAACATTGTGTGCAGATGGTGTGTAAAAACTTAATGAAAACCGAACCTTCCTTTCAAATGAATGAATTCAAATGTGAATATTTTTTTTTTTTACTTGCAAATAATGTGAAGTATATTTAGTTTTAAACAAAAATTTGATTGAATATATAATATTAGAGTGGTGTGTGAGAGAAAGAAAATAAATTTGTAACTTTTGTTATAATTAACAAAAAAATGAATTTATCGTACAATTAAAATAATAAATGAATCAATGAACACGATCTTTGTTCTAATAAGCTTTCATTATTTACAAAAAATTCAAACAATAAATCTGTCATATTCTCGGAAAACATATCGAGGAAAGGTATCATACAAAAGACATTTAGCTACTACTTTGATAGAAACTATGATTATTTTGACCCTTTTACAAAGAATCTTTTTTTTTTCTTTTTTAAAAAAAACCTATTCACACAAAACTTTATACTTCGTCGCTCAACCTCGCTCATTATCTACAAAAAACAGAACCGTTGCATCGCATTGCAATTTTACTTTTCTTCTCCACTTATTATTTTATTATCTTTCATTTTTGTTTCACTTGTTTTAGCAGCATTGATAAAAAATATCTACAACTCTTAAGGTATACGTTTCTGTGTGAGAAAAACGCACAGTATTCGGTTGACATTCTCATGAATCGTAAAAAATAATTATAAGCAATTGCTGTCCCTGCGTCACAAAAAACTTTGCACATCGCCACTTTTAGTTTAAAATATGTTATTCAAGTTTTGCACGAGCTAAAAAAGATTAGAAAAAAATTAGTTGAAAAAAACAAATACAGTATATGAAATTTTGTTGATAAACTTAAATGCCATCCAGTCGGAGTTGTGACTGAAAAAAATTTTGATTAAATTTCTTCAAATTCATTTTTTTTTTTTTTTAATTTTTCAAAACCGTGCCCGCAAAAACAAGAAATCATAAATTAACATTAAAGCAGCTAAATAATTAGCTGCTCTTTTAATATGACAATGACAATAGTGTTTTTTTATCAGCCACTACTTTTCGTACATACACGTACATATATTTGTTTCTACGCATTTAAGTAAAATGACTTATCAATTTATATATAATTACACAGTTATATACAATGACATACAAGTTAAAGATAAAGTTCATACGTTTACTTTAGTTCTTTCCATTTTGAAGTACACAGACAATTACAAAATGTGAATCAAAGTATTTACACTGTAAATACTATGTATGCATACATAAAGTGTCGCCCATTAAAGAATTTTGCAATGATTCAGCTAGTAATATTTTTCAATACGACCATCAAATACTTCATTTAGATCAATCAGTATTAAAACGAAGTGCCAGGTACAAAGTGTTGACGAAAATACTCTGCACCAGAAATCGCTTCGATATTAATTGAAAAAAAGCTTGCACTGTTGAACTAGGTAGTGAAGATTCAATCTGTCATCTGGGGTCGACCGAAGAGAAAGTTCGCCAAGTTTATTGAAACAACGATCTCACCTTTGATAACTTTCTCACTGTCTCATTTTTTAATATATCACAGGAAATTGTTTGGAACTCTCTTCAAACCGATCGCCTTGAGTCATGCACTCTTGAGTCTTCCCATCGGTCGTTTATTTTCTTTCCTTACAGCTTGAACGAAAAAAATTACAAGTTGAAACAAATTTACTCGTTACTCTTGTCATATATTACAATAGAAATAGAAAGATACGAAAATCGAGTATTAAAAAAATCGTATCTCACCAATCACTCCGCAATTTTTACACACAAAAATTAAAAAAGAGCCCTTTCTTTCCTCAAGGCGCGGTAATACAGAGATTTGATCAGTCATCGCTTTCGTATGTATGTATAATATGTCGATGCCTTGCAATAAATTAAATAAATTAACTTCCTGCTTACGCTCCGCTCTTTCGCACACTTTATAACATTTAAAAAAAACTCTGGCACAACAGCGTTTCCATCTTTCTCTTGATTTATTTTCAACCCTCGCTCAGTTCACTGTTAAACCTATTACTCGACTTTTTATATAGATATTGTTACTTGATGGTATAGTTATTCTTTGATTTATTTCTTTTGTTCTCCTTTTTTTTATGTACATTTAGTTACATACTACAGTACACAAGTAGTTAATCAGTAATTCACGAGTAAATTTTGAATAATTGCTGTAAACCGACACAAACTTTTCATTTTTTTTTTTTTTCGGTTATAACATAATTTTTACCACTACTATTTTTTTTCAAAAAAACAAAACTACAACAATTAAAACTTTCAATTTTAGTTGAGGCTTCGCTTTATATAGACATTTTTTCCTTGTACAATAAAGTATTTCGAGTCTTTATTTGTTTCCCGATACGCGTGATAACTGAAATCGGCTCTGCCTGTAGCATACAAGTGTGAGAGAATGAGAGATAAAAATTCTACACCACATGGTCATTGAATTGGTCGTTGCACCCTTGAAATGAAAGACGAAAAATATCACGTTTTTATGCGAGAGCGGAACGTTGTTTCAAAAATTCCTACATATGTTTCGAACTTGATTACTCCAAGAGGCCTTATTTTTTGACTCACTAACGAGAATTAAGAATTATTTACAAGAAATCACGAAAAATGATAACCAATAAGCCGAGCTGTCAAATTTATAAACTGATATTTTCGGCATTTACGTAAAATAAGTCACATTCGATTCACAGAGTGAAATTAATTTTTCTATCTCTGAATTTTATGAACCTCATAAGTAACTTGTTATTTCATTGTCACATCGGCTTAGATTAAAAAATAATAAACTCAGTTTTAGTCAATCAGATACTTCATTTTTTTTATTTTGTTCAATAATTTTATATAAACAGAACTCAAATAAAGCTAACATATCACTTTGCAGCTCAAACACATAGAGTATCAATAAAGATAAACTCCACGTGTCAAACTATATTCCGCTTTATAATATATAAAATGAACTTTTACATCGAAAAATATTTTTACAAGTTCATGTAAAATTACCTAGTTAATATATGTACAATTACTATTTTCTACTTACAATTAGTAATTAATTTATACCTTTTTGCCAAGTTCATTGAGTGTAACGAAAAAGGATCGTCTATACAACAATAAAATTCAGTCAAGATTTACCATCTTTTACTTTACCTGGTGAGGTTTTTGCATTTGAATTGGAAAGTTTCGAAATAAAATATATAAATATGTATAAATCAAGAACAATAGACATCTAGTTTCGCTCCTAATTTTTACATTTACAAGATTCTTTTCCTTGAAATAAGTTAATTTGATTCTAAAAATTACAATACCGTTTGTAAATGCGAGAATACTTGATGTTCTCTTTTAATTAGTATATTCTTTTGGCAAATTGTTTTTTTAAGCAGTGTAAAGGAATTTCAGCTATATTGTAAAACACTTGCTCAAATTAAATATTCTTAAACAATTTTTATGCGTACTGCATCATGTTGTACATAAAAAATGCAGTAAACCACAACAGCGAGATATTACATTTTTACATCACAGATTCGCTAATCGTATTCTTGATGTAAAAAAAAATACATCACTGTTTTCTAGATTAAAAAAAAAATTTAGCTAAAAAATTAGCACCTTTTTGAATTGAAACTTGAATTCGATCCAGAATAGTATCCCGAGTATTCTTATTTCTGAAGCACTATAAATCAGTATATTTAAAAAGAAAGCACTTGCAATGAACCACATCACATTATTTTTTCAATCGAATTAAAGTTCAATATTCAAAAAATCACTGTCGACATTGATAAATAAATTCAGAGCCGCAGTATGACGTAAAAGAAAATTGTTATCGAAATGCGACTTATTTCGCGCGATTGCCAAAAGCAACACAAACAAGGAACACTTTAAGTGAATAATTTCTCTCAGTCTCGGGCTTGAACGAACAAATTATTGTACCACGTTAATTTTTCGTTTTAGCGCGACGGACATTCAAAACATCAAACACAAGAGAAACAAAAAAAAAAAAATCACCCACGTGAATCTAGATAGATCCACGAGGGACGAAATAATTAGTAATTCCGACACTTGCGCCAGCTAGCTCTCCCTGATGCACACATAATGTAATCTCGGCGACACAAGTCAGAGTAGCAGTAGTATTAGTAGTTATAGTGGTGGTAGTAATAATATTAGTAGCGATAGAATTAGTAGTAGTAGTCCACCTATGTACAAAAAAGCGCAGCCCGCTAGGGCTTCGTCACGTTACTTCTCGGTCAGCATCATCGCGGCTGCGAGACGTCCTCTTTTTTGTGCAGATCCGCAGCACTGTGCACCATTGTTTCGATCGGCCTGACTTGCGGCGGAGCAGGCGGTGGCGGGCCCTGGTTAGCTGCTACGGAGCCAGGTGGAGCGCCAGGTCCCGGGCCGGCCCTGTGATGCATATGCAGGTTGCTCAGAGGCCCTGGACTCGGATCCTTTGCCCTAAGACCTGCTGCCACGGCCGAAGCCATGGAAGGTGGTGGATAGGATGCAGCGTACATCTTGGCGCGCTCCTCCTCCTCGGCCCTGTAGGCAGCAGCCATTAGAGGGTTGTAGCGCAACTGTTGCAGAGGATCGTATCGGTATGGGTCCCTGAACGCGTCTGCTGGCCAACCCGGCGGAGGTGCTCCGGGTGCAGTCGTCTGGCCTGCACTTGCCGACGGAGGTGGAGGCGGAGGCGCGAAATGCTGCATTGGATGCGGGAGCGGGGGTAGACCAGCCATGCCTCGGGCCATCGTGTGTGGTGCCGGGACGCTATGCGGATGCCGGCCTTGTGTGAGGTAAGCGTGCGGATGCGCGTGGTGATACCTAAATTTATTCAAAGTCGTTATGATGAATGTTATTGTAGGCATTTTTAAGGAAAATTTTTAAAACAAGTATCATTGTACTGCCAACCTTATCCATTTTTCAGTCTCATGTAAACTGTTTTGTAGATCCATAGCGCGTTCATTGCGCAAATCGAACTTTTCTCTGTAAATGATGGAATAATAATGAAAATCACAAGTAGTCGATAAAATTTTCAAATTTTAAAAAATGTCCCTTTTGAAAAACTCACTGCACAAACCTGGGATCTGGCATAGTGTTGACTTGAGGTCCAGGCTGAGGTGGTCCCCTGGATAGCATCACGACATCATCATCCTTAGACCTCGGTTCTTCTTTCACTCTAACCATTTGCGAAGGATCGAGCTGGTTGGCCCCATTTCTTAAAGGCGATCGATCTCTGACGACCATGTGCTGCTGCTGCTGCTGCCTTTGATGTTGCTGAAGCTGTTGCTGTTGCTGATGGTGCTGCTGCAGGAGTCTTTCGCGTTCGAGTTCTCGCCTTTCCATCTCCCTACGCTCCCGTTCTCGCCTCTCTCGTTCTCTCTCGGCCGCCTCCTGCTGCTTTCGTTTCTCTTCTTTCTCGCGTTCCCTGCGCTCTCGTTCGCGCTGCTCTTCTCTTTCGCGTTCTCGTTCTTTCTTGATACGTTCACGTTCTCGCTCCCTTTCGCGCTCCCGTTCTCGCTCCCTTTCGCGCTCGCGTTCTCGCTCGCGTTCACGTTCGCGTTCTCTCTCCTCCAACTCGGCTGCTCGCCTCGCGTCAATGCTCGGCGCCTCTGGTTTCAAGCTCCAGCCAACCGTCGTTGGTGGAAAGGGGCCTGGCGCCCGTTGTAATCTGGAAAACATTTGACGACAATTAGATACCGAAGTTTTAATTATCCTTTAAAAATAAGTTTGGATGACCCATCTTACCCTCTCCAGGGATCATGAACCGAGCCAATTCCAGCGAGAGGTATGTCTCTCCCTGAAATTCCGGAAGGTGGAAAGCCTGAAAGACCCGGAAAAGTGCCTGCTGCAGTAAACGTCGGTGGATACCTCGCGAATTGTAATCCAGCTCCTTAGAAGAGACAAACATTTTTAATCGTTGGATAATTAAATATGTATGTACACGTGGAAACATCGTGACACGTACCCAAGTGCGAAGACGGTGCAGTAAGGAATCCGACTGTGTGCGATACTGGAGGCCCGGGGGGATGGGTTGGTAGCGCCGTAGAAAACGGAGGTGCCAGTTGCGCTGCCCCCATACCAAGAGCACCAGCTGGTCCTGATTGGAATAAGTGACCCGGCGGTCGAAGCAGCTCTGTTTTTGTGCTACCGCCAGCTTTCGCTTCCGCTTGCTGCTTTTGCTGGTGATGGTAAATTTCCCAAGCTATCCGAACGTGCATCGCGTTCCATTTACCAGTTTTCTGAAAATTCAAGGTGAACTTTAATATGATACTACGTTCGAGATTCCGCATTATTCTACAAAAAATCGCGAAATTACCGCTGGTACGTATGACGGTACGTGACCCGGTGATACGAAAGACGTCGTAGGTGGTCCAAGGCCAGGATGAAGAAGGCCAGCACTAAAACCGGAATAGTTGCCGAGATTGAGATTCCCCCGAAAAAATGAGGAATCCACTCCACCCAGCTTTGGAATGTCCTTGAACTGGAAATGCAAGTGTTACGATGCATGAGTCTCGACAATACTTGGTAATCGGCAAGCCAATGATTCAAGTTGTATTAAATGCTTACAATCGGTGGTGGAAAGAGCGACGACGCCGGCGGTGGCGGTATGAGGGACGACGAGTGTTGGTGAACGTGCATGTGCTGATGGTGGTGTTGATGAGTTTCGGTCCGAGTCAGATACGGTGACGGGCCTAAACTGTTCACCGACCGATCGTGCGACTGAAGAAACCGATTGTCCAACTCGCGACGCAACAGATCTGTCTGGCCTTGTACGTGGCTCACCCCTATTTTCGATTCTACATTTTAATATGGTAACACTGCCCTAACATTCGGAGATGGACCCGATATTTTTCGTTGGCAAAAAAAAAAATCGATCTTTACGCGATCGTCATTGTAAAATTTCACTCAAACAGGAGAAAAAAAAAAAAAAAAAAAAAAAAAAAAAAAAAAACACACTAGTCAAAAACTTTGAGCGACACCAAACATATATATACGCGTCCATCTCCGTCATGAGAAGCATGTACAGTATCTCATAAAGTAAACTAAGCGTGTGTGAATGAATATTAGTGAACTTACTGCTAGTCTGGAACAACGACTCGGCAGAGAAGGGATTCGGATTGCTGGTGGGCGGTGGAAGCGAAGGCAGGGAAGTGTGCGGACTCGCACTCGAGACCGGCGGTGGCAGCGGCGCAGCGAACATTGGCGGTGGATACGTGTGTAGCCCTAGCGGCGGTTGCACCGGTGGCGGCGTCGGTCGTGGCACTGAGGTTGCCGGCGACGCCGAGTTGCTGTAAGCGCAATTTCGCGTGAGCAATTTTCGCCTTAATGGTCTCTTGCGGTATGTAATTTGAGTTTCGAAAAAATTCAAGCTTACCCAATCCATCCTTGAGCCTTTGTGTACGCAGGTAGACTAGAATTGGCCGGGGAGGAAGTGTTTGGCGCGCTGACCGGTGTTATGCTGCTTCTACTGAGAGTACTCACGTTACTGCTATTAAAAAATTGGAAAAAAATAAAACACACCGTAAAACGATGTGTGATCGAATGAAAATAAAAGTAAAAAAAAAAAATAAAATAATAATAATAATAATAGGCGAGGGGTGCTGGCTGACATTGATGATTTTGTGTTTCGCGCTTGGGATCAGAAGGACACGTTACCTGTAACTCTCCCGCTCTCGGTTCGGACTGTGTCCTCTGGGCGAATTGTTGGTGTTCCGGCTGCCGGCCAGACTGCTGGACACAATGTCCCTGTGCGTCATCGGACTGGCCGTCGTGACCGTGTTCGTCACCGTCGAGGCGCACGACGTCGTCACGGCCACGCTCAGCGGCGCCATACTACTAATGTTGTTGCTTACGCTGTAATTATTCGGCACAACGTTGCTTATCGTCGACTTAATGCTCAAGTTTGTACTAGGGGATGCTCTGCTACTTCGCTGCAACGAGAACGAAAGAAACACGTGATGGTGATGTAACGACGAAGAGGGGGAGGAAAAAAGAAAAAAAGTATACATATGTATGCACTTACGATATCGGTACGCGACGAGGCCGAGTGCGAGGGCGAGGGCACGGCGGGCGGCAGGTACGGACTGTGGTTGAGAGCCGTGTAGGGCGTGTAAAGGGGCGGATAGGACGGCTGGGTCTGGGGATAGGCGGCCATCGGCAGGGGCGGTGGGTAACTCGTCGTCGCGGCACCGTTCGAGGGCGCGGCCGGTGCGACCCCGAGACTGGCCACAGCTGGGGAGGTCGTGTGCGACGAGGGCGGCACAAGCGGCACATTCGTGGGCGGATGGAGACCCGGTATCGAGGCGGCCGCGTGAGCCGGCTGCTGAGGCTGCGGCTGGGGCGGCGTTGGCGGTATCGTCATTTGCAGCGGCGAGTGTTGTTGCTGCTGCAGATGAGGCGGCGGTTGCTGCGACGATGCCTGACTCGGCACCGTCGTTATCACCGGTGGCAACGACTGCTGCTGCGGTGGTGGCGGAGGCGGCGGCTGCGGCTGTTGCACAGAGATCGGCACCTGTGATGTCTGATGCGCTGGGTGCGGCGAGTGCTGCTGCTGCTGCTGCTGCTGATGCTGCTGCTGTGACGATAGCTGAACCAGGGCAGGCTGCTGCTGCTGTATAGGCTGTGGCTGTTGCTGTTGTGGTGCCTGATGTTGTTGTTGTTGTTGTTGTTGTTGTTGTTGTTGCTGCTGTTGTTGTTGTTGTTGCTGATGCTGCTGTAGCTGTGGCTGCTGCTGCTGTTGTGGCTGCGCTTGTACCAACTGTTGTTGCTGTTGTTGTTGTTGTTGTTGTTGTTGTTGCTGTTGTTGTTGTTGTTGTTGCTGATGTTGTTGCTGCTGCTGTTGTTGTTGTTGCTGCTGCTGGCAGAGCGAAGGTGGCGGCAGTGCCGGCGAGACCGGCCGCTGCTGTGGGGGTATTGCACGTGGGTTTGCTGCTAGCGGACTAGTCATCTGTAAATAATGGACGAGAATGATTTGATGAGGAAAACCAGTGCGTCCGCGGATGCAAACGTTCGTCGAATGGTTGTTATTGTACTCACGGTTGGCTGGGATATGTGCGGAGGTAACGTGGGGCTTGGAGGACTGGGCGCCGTCGGCACGGGCGCGCTGGCAGGCACAGGCGGAGGAATCGGCGCCGGGGCATCAGTCGCCGGGTTCGAGATCTGGCCGCCGGTATCTGGTGGCGATCCGCCCGCCCCGTTCGCCGGAGGCAGCACGTGCGGTGAAGAAGATGGCAACTCGTCTGGTTTTTTTTTTTTTTTTTTTTTTTTTTTTTTTTTTTTCATTTTAATTGCTCGATTGTTACATTATTGATTTCATTGAGCTCGGAACGAGAAATGGACCATTTTTATCGATAAATTGACGTAATAAGTTGAGGATATACACAAATACCGTACTAATAGGATTAAGGTGAAAATTTCCCGGGAATGAATTATTAAAGCACTCGACGGGATCCTTGTAACGCCGTTCGTAATTGAAAAATTTTAACGAGCTCGTTTGGGATTCAAAGAGGTTTTTGTCCTCCCCTACCCCCCTACACCCTTGTAACTTCATCATTCCTTTTGTAAAAATAATTGTAGCAATTTAATCTACCGGGATAAAAATGTGTACGCCGATATTTTCAGCGTTTCCGAGCACAAATGAAATTTTCGCGTACACACGTAATAATACAAAATGACACTTACATTTACGTGCAAGAGGTGGTGGGGTAGAAGATTCAAAGAGTATCGATTCCGCATCCGAGTTCTGCAACACAAGTAATAGTGACATGTTATAGTTAAATAATCTCTGGAGTGCCACACTCATGAATACACACGAGATGCATTTTTTCTTTGCAATGTATTGCATGCGGCACAAAAAGTGTTTCACAAACGGCTTGCTAATCATTTTAATTGCTTTAATGGACAGAGCGGATTTTTTTCCTCATTAATAGCGTGTACGAGAATAAAATCGTATTTTCCGAGAAAAGCGTTTTTTTTATGCAGAGCCTTTGTGTGCCACTTTTAATATGATAAAAGGTAGGGCGAAAAATAAGTGTTGAAATTACCTTATCGTCTTCTCCTTCACTATCACACTGTGGGGAAAGAGACAAAAAAAAATTATCAAATTAGTATGTGTGTTTCATAATGATTTAATTTTGCAAAATAAAAGTAGTAGTAGTAGTAGTAGTAGTAGTAGTAGTAGTAGTGATAAGAGCTGATAGAAAAAAAAAAAAATTGCTTGTTTGTTCCAGAAAAGAGAACGAAAATACTTACGATATAACCTTTACCCGAACTGCAATGACTGCTAGCCTGTGAAGCAAAATTTTCATGCTCTTTACGTATACGCTTATTGACTACTATCAGAATGAGGTGTTTTTCTGTTCATTAGTATAGAAAAAAAAAAAAAAAAAAAAACAACAAAAAGGCCAAATAAAGGTGGAAGGGGCATGTATGCTTGAAACATAGAATCTCATCAAAGTAGTCTGCATATGCAAGCAGTAATGCTGCAACTTCCTACATTGAATCGTCATAACGTGACAGAGTAAACATCACGTATACTATTTATAATAAGCGAGTGCATTAATAGATTTTTAATATACTTTAATGTGTATGAATTAATACACTTCATAATTTGATTAGCGTATAGTAAGCGCAAAGCATTTCGAGTTAGAGTAATACATCGTATCAAACATGCACTTCACTGTCAGTGTGCGATTTGGATAAAATATATGTCATAACTTTCATAGCGCAAACGCTGTTCAAAAAAAATCATAAAAAAACAACATTTTTTTATAGGTAAAATGGTTAAATACAGTAAAGATGAAGTGCAT